ATTATCCCGTAAGCCACCAAGCCCAGAACGCATTCAACCATCTCGTGACCGTTGTCTCATCATCCTGCATACAGCGAAATTTAACAAGGCTACCTCAGCGGAGAGAATGTTGGTCGACCAAATACTGCTTCAGCGGATGATTGCTCTACTGTTAGGTGTAGGCGAACTGGGAATAAACATTGTTTCTGCCTTTCGTCTCGATAGCCAGCAGGAAAATTCCTCCAAGGGTCGACCACTCAAGATGATAGGCGGGAACGAAAAGTGCGCGTGCATCCTCCGACGGACGCCACGTCTTAAAGGTGAACCTTTCGAAGTATTATGAGTGCACTCTTCAGAGGACAGAATTAAAATGAATAATGCTGAAGAGGAGCTACGAACGCGCCGGGCAAGCGTTAAAAACCCACCTACATATCATGGACTTTTGCACAGTTCGGAAGAGCGCAAGAGCCCGATGGAGGCCGATTCTTAGCACCCCCAGACAGTAAAGCATAAAAACGGACTAAGCATGCTATCTGCCAATGCGCGCAGTCTAAAGAAAAACCTGGATGAAATTCAGTTGCTTAATTCAGAGACTCGTTTAGACCTGATGGCCTTCACCGAAATCTGGCTGTTCTCAGATATCACCGACTCGGATGTGTCTATCCCTGGCTAGCAGCACACCCGGTCCTATCACCATGGAGTGAGGTCAGGGGGCGGAGTAATCCTCTACTGCAAGGCATTTCAAAATACATTTAGTTGAAGCTACCAATGACCTTGCTGACAATTTCGAAGCACACTGGTGCCATGATCCTGACGGATGCAGATCTCTCTTGCTCGGTGTCGTCTACAGAGCGTCATCTGACCCCGGAGCGCGCTTGTTGGGCTTGATGATGGTGTGCTGTGAGCACGCGGACGGTCTGAGTTGGGGGATTTCAACGCAACGAAAAGCGATTATTACCTACTCCTTTGTGCCCGCCGATCTGACGCTTTCGATGCCACATTGCTTAAAATCGCTCTCGACTATAGCCTCGTTCAAATTGTCTTGACGCCTACTCGTATTTTCCTATAGCAGACGGATTCGGATGTCACGAACCTAAACGCTTCGCAACCTATAGGCAAGAGCGATCATTGTGTTGTTTCATTCCACTGGACTCGCCGTCTCACGATCTATAGCCACAGTGGTCACCGGCGGAACTTTTGGCGTGCCGATCCACTCCGTCTGAAGACGGCCGCAAGCGCTACGGATCGGGGTATTTCTGTGTAGCGGAGTCGTTCAGTCGCTAAATGTCAGGTATGTCCCGAAGCAAGGAAAACGCGGAAAAATGCGGGTATATGGGCGAGCTACCCTTTTATTTTCAAAACTTACAATCCCACTAGCTGAAGTCACGGTAAAAATGGTTCTAGCTAGGGGAAAGGTACAGTCGCCAGCCGAGACGCAGCAAACGCTCTTCAAGGCGGAAAAGCCAGAAGCGCATGAATGCGATTCCTCTGGATGACTCAAACACACGTAGACAGCGTGCGAACATGTAAGCTTCCCAAGTTGTCCGTGTACAGGATGATATTATATTTTAATAATATTTTCCACAGACACACAGGACAACCTCCAGGTCACTACATAGTCCCTCCTACAAAGGAACCTTTAGTGACCCCTCAAAATATCTGAGGACTGTGCATCGCGGTCCAGCCTTCTGCGAGACGAGGCGGTGGAGCCCGGTGCAGCTGGTGGGGGGAACCTCGTGATCGGACCCTAGCGAGCTCCCACCCATATCCTCCTTTAAGATGCCGATAAAAGAAAAGAGGGAGAACGTTCGTATCATACGATCACTTGTGTGTGACCACAAACGAGTGTTCTCCGGTTCGCACCATGAAAACAAAGGAAGAAACGGGGGGCAGACATGCAGAAGAGACGACGGCAATGGACGGGAAAAGCACTTACCGAATAGTCAGCGGAAAGTTGTTGAAACAATCTTTTTATCGGTTTTCAGAAACTATTTCTCCTTTTTCTGGTTTTCCAAGCCTTATGCGCTGTGTTTGGGTGTACAAAACATTTTGCCATCTTTTGCTGTCTTCGGCTGGTACTGCCGCAAAGGAAAACCTAAAAAAGCTGTTAGAAACAGACATGCTAAGCTATTGTTCTAAGATACGTGTCAGCAAAGGCATTTGACGACCAGACCTAGTTAATATTTTAGGCGTGACGGAGTCGGAGGGCTCAGTAAGCGGGGTTCTTGTAGTGGAGTTGCTGTCGGCCGGCATTTCTTCCACCATTGGTTAGATCGATTCATCGTAGGAGGAAAAACGGAAATCATCGTTCGACTCTGGTTCGACATAAGCAACTTTGGGGCAGTCGATTTAGACGGTTTCGCGCTTGTCGTTGCGTTCGATGACGAAGAAGCGATCCATACATTGTAGGACCTTGTGTGGACCATCGTAAGATCGTTCGAGTGGTCTGAGTAGACCATCAATGCGAATGAAGACAAACGGGCAGTGGTGAAGATCTTTGGGAATGTACCACGCAGTGCTGTTCCCCTACTGCCGTTGGTTTAATGCGGCGCATGTTCGTGGCTAACTGCCGAGCGTAGTGCACGTCGTAGCGAGGAACGTTAAAGCTTTCAGAGTATTCGCGTGATACTCGGAGTGGTTATCCATAGCCCATTTTGGCGCTGGACGTTTCGCGATCTGCTTTCAGTACTGCTTGAATTCCGAGTAGTATTAATGACAGAACTTCTGTCCAACTAACAGCATTGGTGGCAGAGCGAGGCTTTAGGCTGCCGGTAGAAGAGCTCCACCACTGCGTTTGCTTGAGGATGGTAGGCGGTTGACCGGATACGTTTACAACCGGGCGTTGTGAGCATGTCGCTGAATGTCAGCGATTCGCATTGTGGACCACGGTCGGCAGTCACAGTGGCTGGACAGCCATGCGAAGCCACCCAGCTCTCGACGAATGCGCGCGTTATAGTCTCCGCTGATACAGCGGGAATTTTTACAGCTTCAGGCCAACGAGTGGCGCGAGCCACCATGATCAGGATGTAGACCATGTCTCTGGACGGCGGAAGGGGTCCAACGATGTCGAGGTGGTATGTGAGCGAATCGCGTTGTTCGTGACGGGAAGCGTCCCATCGGAGCGGCAATATGTCCATGAACTTCGGCTCGCTGGCAATACAAATAAATAAATAAATAAATAAATAAACTTTTATTCTCGACAACGCGAAGCATACCAGTACAGGCATGATCATGTTTAGCTAACATAGTGTGATCAAAATGTACAGAGTACATGTTTGGCATAACAGTGAATGTAAGTGTATGGGTGTATATATGTATGTAATTGTCTATGAATGTAACTTGTAGTTTTGAATGTGCCGCAGAATTTTCGACTGTTTGTTATCGGTAGGAATGTGAGAATAAGCGATTGATGTCCGTGAGTTGGATACCATTTTCCGGATATCCACGGCCCAGTGACTTTATTTTGTGGCGGGTCACTTCCGCCACGTCACGGTGTTGATAAGCAGACATTTGTGGCTTTTTATAGGGAGAAGGCTTGCCGGGCGAAAACCCACCACGTCCTGGAACACTGCCGCCGAACTATTTGCTTGAACGGATTAAACCCGAACCACCCAGCTGGCACCACGAGGAGGTTGTTCGGCTAGCCAGCGGTTACATGTCCAAAGTCTGACCTCGCGCTGCATGTTGGGCCAGACGTATCTGTCAGCAATCATCTTGACTGAGGCGCGGATGCCAGGATGCACGATGTTGTGCAGCACATCGAAGGCTTTTCGGAAAACGCAGTTAGTAATAGTAGACGTGGAGGTGCGGCAGAGACGTTGCAGCTTACTGTACATGTAGACGAAGGAAGCGGTCTAGGTACTAATTTTAACGTGGACTCCTCGCAGGACGACGTTAGGTCTCTTTAGGCTTGCTGCGCAGTGGCCATAGCTGACAGATCGAGCGAATGTTCGGTCGGATCCGGCAAATTTACTCTTGAAAGCGTGTCCGCCACAACATCATCCTTGCCAGACACGTGTCGGACGTCCAGCGAAAACTGCAATACTAAATCTAGATGACAAACTTCACGCGGAGAGTGTCGGGGCGAAGGGTACCGGAAGGCAGAGACGAGTGGTTTGTGATCTGTAAAGGTCGTAAAATGATAATCCTGGAGAACGTGCTGAAAGTGGCGAACGGCGGAGTTTACGGCGAATAACTCGCAGGCAAATGTGCTGTATTTCGACTCGGCTATCTAAAGACGTGAGAAGGAATCTAGTGGTTGCCAATTACCTTTGGAAATCTGTTGTAGAACGGCGCCGATTGCGCTTTCGGTGGCGTCGACGGCTACACCGATTGGAGCTTACGAGTCGAAGCTATGAAGCATGACCGCGAAAGAAAATGTTGCTTTGCTAGCTTCGAATGCTCTTCCTACTTCCGGCATAAGAGCAACTTTATTGTTGTTGCGTTTACGCAGAAGATCGGTGAGCCGTAGCACAAGCTCGGCACCGCGTGGCAGGAATCCGCGATAGTAGTTGACCATGCCGTTGAAGCGTCGAATGACGGCTAGAATCGGTGAATGAGGAAAGTCGCGAATAGCCTGGACACCGTCCTGCAAACGGCGGATACCCTGGGAATCAAGTTGGTGTCCGAGGAAGTCATTGCGCGGCCACATGCAAATGCATTGTCGGGGTTGACGATGGCGTTGTTTGCCTTTAGCCGTTCGAACAGATGTCGTAGATGTGTTCGGTGATCCTCTCTCAAAGTACTGGCCACCAGGAATGACAACTGATAGAACTTTATACATATCTAGTCCCTAACTACATCAGAATAATCATCGAGAAGTAAATACTCGTTCCACAATACTTGTCATATACAGTAACAAATAAACTTTCTGCTACGCCTCTAAGCATCATTCACCAACACCTATTCTCAACCGTCTAAACTGATAACCTTTGACTAAATGAAATTACTTGTACCATCATCACACCTCTTCTACACACCACCACCCCATAAACCCCCCACACTCCCCACCCCCATACCCACTACACACCACCAACCACCCCACACCCCAACCCCCCCAACCCCCCACCCCCCCCCACCCAACCCCCCTCCCCCCCCCCCCAACCCCACCCCCCCCCCCCCCCCCCCCCCCCCCCCCCCCCCTCTCCCCCCCCCCCCCCCCCCCCTCCCCCCCCCCCCCCCCCCCCCCCCCCCCCCCCCCCCCCACCCCCCCCCCCCCACCCCCCCCCACCCCCCTCCCCCCCCCCCCCCCCCCCCCCCCCCCCCCCCCCCCCCCCCCCCCCCCCCCCCCCCCCCCCCCCCCCCCCCCCCCCCCCCCCCCCCCCCCCCGAAGCAAAATTAGTAAGCGGCTTACCAAATTTTCGGTCTGGGTCACCAGTTACAGCAGAATCGTCCGGTCGTCATGTCAGGTGCGTACCGAAGCGAGGAAAACTCGAAAGACGGATACATGAGCGATATATACTTTATTGGCGAAAGGCACAATGTAAAAACGGTTCTAGTTAGGGGAAAGGTATAGCAGCTAGCGGAAAAGCAGCAAACGCTCCTCAAGGCGGAAAAGCCAGAAGCGCACGAATGCGATTCGTCAGGATGACTCAAACACACGTAGACAGCGTGCGAACGGGTAAGCTTCATAAGTTGTCCATGTACAGAATGATATTATGTTTTAATAATATTTTACATAGACAAACAAAACAATCTCCAACTGACTACACCTGAACACACACATCGAAGATGAATGGAATCTTGTATTCTCCAAAATGACCTCGCTAATTGAGCAGGTCGTTGCCTCCTTCCCTCGAAAGCCCTTCACTAGACACCCACCTTGGATGGATGGGGAATTGAGGTCAACTATAAATAGAAAACGCAAATTAAGTGGCCACTTTTGGCTACCTCAATCAGAACCCGACTTCACTACTACTAGGCTGCCAGAAATCTATGTGTCACGATAACGTGTCGGAAACGACAACAATACGAACTATGCTTACCACGACACTCCAGAATCGGGCCTAAAATGCTGTACTCTTACTTGAAAAGAAGCACTGGAGTTGGTGATGGCATCCCTGCTCACAGAACTTGCTCTGTGAGTACTACGCGGTAACTCGATTTTTAAGCGTGCCCTGCTGATCGAGCTTTTCAGCTGTACTAACGTGAAAAGCCGTGTTTGAGTAAACACTTAAACAAAATTTTACTGATGTCAAATTTTCTCTGATCCATGATATCTTGGATCGATTAAAGTAGTACTGGCCAAAGCGTCTTTCGTGCTTCCTGGTAATTTTCCGGTTGTTCCCAGATTTAAACCCGTTTTGCACCCTGTTTTTGCCTTTTTATTGCGGACGTTTTACTACTTTTTACGTTGTAATTCTACTGTTTTCTACATGAACATGGATGTCTCGGTAAACACCGAGGCGGATGGACCTATGGGGTCTTCGTGGCTTGGGGGTAGCGGTCACAACTAACATCCCAATGGTCCCAATGGTCTCTATCAGATGAGATGTAATAACGTCGAAACGCGTCATAGTAAGGAAGTTTTTATCCACGTAGTGGGGACCAGCGTTTTTCAGGCTCGACAAATCTGTTGAGGCTCTCGTAGTCTTGTGTGTACTGTGAGTGCTACGCAGTGACTCGATTTTTTGGCGTAACATACTGGTCGAGATTTTTAGCTGAAATTACGTGGAAAACAGTGTTTGAATAAACACTCGCAACGAAATTTGACAATAGTCAAATTTCCTCTGATCCAAGATATCTTGCA